AATCGTAAACTTATTTACAGTAGTGGTAGATTTATTTTTGAGTAATAGACTTATTAGTAGTTGTGGTAGAGTTATTTTGTGATCGGTAGACTTATTAATGGTTCGCGCAATCGTAGACTTATTTATATTAGTGGTAGAGTTATAATATGTGGTAGATTTATTTACTGGTCATCTTCTCCACAACCAAGCTTTTGTCAAACCCTAACAATGGCGGCCAACTATTTTTTAGCTCGTTTTTACTGTATTTTAACTTGTTTTCAACTGGATTTAGCCTAAAACTAGTAGATCTAACATCATATATCTCTTTTCTAACCAAAAATCAAAAGATTTCAAGTTTTTTTTTCTTGTGATTTTCAATCCGATTTTATATAAATCCGGCGGTACACCTCCACCAAACTTGTCTCTGGTGCTTCTGCAGCCTCCACGGCCGTAGTTTCAAACAAATTTCTGATTTTTTTTTAATAATTAGAATGGCATTTTCGTAATAAAAATTTGTTACTAAGGTTTATATGTCTTTTATGACCTTTGTTAAGTTTCAAGCTTGTTAAAGAGTTGTTTTAGTAATTATGCCATTTTTCAAAGTTGTTCTAGTAATTTTTCCTGTATTTAATGAACTTTCTGGTTCATCACATTAATTTAGCGTAGCATGTACAAAGGATAGAGATGGGTTTGTGTGTGTTTGTTGCGTCATATCAAATCAAATATCTGGTCATGGTCATTTATAGGGAGGTTTACTAAAAAAACCTTGAAAAATGGTTTTTTGACCAAAATGATGCTAATCTTTCATAATTACTCAAACAACCTTCAAAGATTTATTATATCCGTTTTAGCTTTATTTTCTTTGAAGACAAAAAACGTATTTACGAAACTGCCATTAATGAGGCAACAAAATTTTCCCGCCAAAAGCGAATAAGTCTACCATTCATGTGATGGTAGATTTATTTACGATAGGTAGATTTATTAAGTGGTTGGTAGACTTATTGATGGTTCGCAATCGTAGACTTATTTATAGTAGTGGTAGATTTATAATATGTGGTAAACTTATTTGTAGTAATGGTATATTTAATTTTGTGATCGGTAGACTTATTTCTAGTAGTGGTAGAGTTAATTTTGTGATTGGTAGACTTATTTCTAGTAGTGGTAGAGTTAATTTTGTGATTGGTAGACTTATTAATGGTTCGCGCAGTCGTAGATTTATTTATAGTAGTGGTAGATTTTTTTTTCAGTGATAGACTTATTAGTAGTAGTGGTATAGTTAATTTTGTGATCGGTAAACTTATTGATGGTTCGCGCAATGGTAGATTTATAGTGGTGGTAGATTTATAAAATATGGTAGACTTATTTGTAGTAGTGGTAGAATTAATTTTGTGATCAGTAGACTTATTTCTAGTGGTGGTAGAGTTAATTTTGTGATCGGTAAACTTATTGATGGTTCGCGCAATCGTAAACTTATTTACAGTAGTGGTAGATTTATTTTTGAGTAATAGACTTATTAGTAGTTGTGGTAGAGTTATTTTGTGATCGGTAGACTTATCGATGGTTCGCGCAATCGTAGACTTATCTATACTAGTGGTAGAGTTATAATATGTGGTATATTTATTTATTGTAGTGGTAGATTTATTCAATATTTTCACGTCTTTACTAAACAACCTTTAGTTGGTAGACTTATATATAGTAGTGGCAGATTTATTTATAGTAGTAGTAGATTTATAATATGTGGTAGATATATTTATACTCGTGGTAGTGGTACATTTATAATATGTAGACTTATTTGTAGTAGTGGTAGATTTATAAATATGTAGTAGACTTAGTTATAGTAGTGGTAGAGTTATTAAATAAAAGGTAAAATCGTAATTTACCGGTCATCTTCTTCACAACCAAGCTTTTGTCAAACCCTAACAATGGCGGCCAACTATTTGTTAACTCGTTTTTATTGTATTTTAACTTGTTTTCAACTGGATTTAGCCTAAACTAGTAGATCTAACATCATATATCTCTTTTCTAACCAAAAAAAAAATCAAGTTTTTTTTCTTGTGATTTTCAATCCGATTTTATATAAATCCGGCGGTACACCTCCGCCAAATTTGTCTCCGGTGCTTCCGCAGCCTCTACGGCCGCGGTTCCAAACAAATTTCTGATTTTTTTTTAAATAATTAGAATGGCATTTTCGTAATAAAAACTTGTTACTAAGATTTATATGTCTTTTATGACATTTGTTAAGTTTCAAGCTTGTTAAAGAGTTGTTTTAGTAATTATGCCATTTTTCAAGGTTGTTCTAGTAATTTTCCCTTTATATTATATAAAGTATTTTAGAAGTTTTAATTTTGTAAAAGTAGATGACAAAACTATTATGGTAACACAGGTTATAATCAATGCTTGGGCAATCCAACGAGACACTTCAACATGGGGGATAGATGCAGAAGAATTTAGACCAGAAAGACATATAAACTCGGATTTAGATTTTCACCGACAAGATTTCAAATACATTCCATTTGGTTCGGGTAAAAGGATATGTCCTGGAATCGAATTCACATCGGCATTGATTGGTGTAACATTGGCCAACATTGTGAAACGTTTCAACTGGAGAATGGATGTTGAACCGAAAAGTGGTCATGATGATCTAACTGAAGTAAGCGGTCTCGTGATTTTCCGTAGATTTCCTCTTATTGCTATTCCATCTTCTGCTTGATTCTCTTTGGCCTCGTTAATGAATAAAACATTGCAACTTTGTATGGTTTAATGATGTTTTGTGTTGCATATGAATAAAATCTTTTTTCTCTAGTTCTTGTATTAAATCTCTAAAAACATAATTATGAAAAGCATCTAATCTTATTATATAAAGAATAATGTGCACGATGAGAACGCGTACACGTAAGCAAAAATTTTATTCACGAGATCATGACATGTGTAATTGTTAATTTAGATTGTGATATGTGTCAATATTAACAAAAACATTTACTAAGAAAATAAGGAAAAAATAAACCGTTCCACTAAAATATGTAATATTTCCAATATTCACAACAAAAATTAAAAAGAAAATAAGAAATATATTCTAAACAAATATTATAGATTAATTAAGAAAAAGAAAAAAAAAACGTTATACTAAAATATGTAATATTTCTAAATTTTTATATTACAAAATACATTATTTTCATTATAAATTATCTAAATAGTTAAAGACAAAAGAAAATATTATATTTATAAGTGTCATTTTGCTAATATATTACGTTTATGAGATAATTTTAGTATAAGATAAATATAATAAATTAACTATTTAATAAAATATAATAATAAAATAAATATTAAATATTTGCAAGTCGTAACTTAGAATCTAATTCTATTTGTCAAATTATAGGCGTTATACATTTTAAAATCAAAAATATTTACCGCAATGTGTTTTTATATCAACATGACACGTAGACAAAATAATAAGCAATTTTACTTTGTGAAACGTTTCCATGATATAAACCATGATATAAGCCATA